TATTTTTTATTTATTATTAAAAAGACATTAATGGTAATCTAACAACCAACCTCAATGATAAACGTGATGACTTTAACTTTTCTATCGTCAACTTCCCTTACTTATGCAGCAGTATACCTTCGTCACCTGCATACGGAGTTATTATATCTTGGTTGATTCGATACGCAAGAGCATGCTCTACGTATGAACAATTTCTAAAACGAGGTAAACTATTGACAAACAAGTTAATGAAACAAAAATTTCAGAAGTCTCGTTTAAAGTAATCATTTCGTAAGTTCTATGGTCGATACAATGACCTTTTCAATTTATCATTGAGTCAAATTCTGACTGACGTTTTTCATACTTATTGTTACTTCATTATTTACACACTTAATTTACGACGGATTTTCCGGTTATTTCCCGATCATGACAAGGAGCACACAGCGGGCGGGTGTGACCCGTCAACAGGGGATGCTCGCTCCTTCATGGCACTTGATCCCACCTCTGATGCTTTTGAGGTCCGTATTTGCTCTGCTCCTATTTTGTATTGTTTTATGGCCTTTTGATCTTTACTGTTCGTTATCTCAATGTTTCATTAATGTCAAAATTATATAAATTGATATCATCTATGGAAAATACGCAGGTCGATCCGTGTTTTATGCGAATTTGTATTGCTTTTATAAATTAATTTGATCACGGGTTTTTATCTGAACCTTTCGATTCATCGTGACGAAGCATTATTAACTAATAATGGAACACTTTTAGTATAAAAAGACGAATGAGCTAATGAAACAAAATGTTAGCTTGGAAGACAAAGCACCAGCATTTAAAAAAAAGTAACATCACAACACATACTCTGTTCATTATTTACATAAAACGGTTCCATAGTTAACCAAAATATTCACATCAATTTTAAAATATTTCATAGGGAACATCATTTCAACCAACAGTACTATCAGTTAATCAAATATATTCAAGATCATTTCTAACACTAGTACATCAGCTTATCAAATATATATTTCAGTTTAATTGTATTTAACATGTTTAAATGTAAAAATGTTGTCGTGTTTCACAATTTAAAAAATTTTATATTAACATTTTGCTCACTTTAATAGATAAATCTTATATGGTATTTGACATTTACATGTACTTTATCCTCTCCAAAATGGTTAATACAGTAAATCTCGTTTAGTACGAACACGGATATAGCGAATTCACGGATATAGCGAAGTTTTTCTGGGTCCCCGACTAAATTCTTAACAAATCTTTGTAAAATTTTACGGTTATAACGAACTCTGATATAACGAATTTACGGATATAAAGAACTGATTTTGAGTCCTGCTGAGGAAAAATATAATGAAATTTACATCTTTTATAACGAACTTTCAAGGATCTCAAAATTTGATAAATTGACTTGACTTTATTTTATTTAAGAATGTATATAAAAATTCAATTCGAAATAAAACTTTGGTTATCGAAGGTTTTCTTCCTGATATTTACTTTCCTAACATATTTGGTAGTAATACTTGAAGGAAAACATGCATAAAGCGAATTCGCTATATACTAGTATGGTTATGCGAATTCGTTATACGGATATAACGAATTACGGATATAGCGAATTAAATTCACAGGTCTCCAGCACTTCGCTATAACCGAGTTTTACTGTAAAGATATTTCTATCTATCTTGATCTAGACTTGCTGTTCCTTGTTTTTAACATACCTAAAAGTAAAAATTTGTTTTTACACTAAATTGCATAGAATTATTCTTTTTCAGTTTTCATTGGTTTAGACCCATTCCATCTGATACTTGTTTTCCTACAGATCGATATCGTCTTGAAATCCTACTACTTAAAGGGAAACAACAATAAACAAACGTACGACTTGCTAAATATATGTTCCATCAATTGTGCATATAAATTACTGATTATCTCTTAAAGTGTATACATATATTCTGAAACATTTTAGACACACAAGAAGCAATTTAAGTGTTGAAAAATTAGAGGAAAAGGTTAGAGCAATATGACCAACTTCTGATAAAAATCTTGACTGAAAGCTATGGCAACATTTTAAAATGTTTTGTTTTCTTTTTATATAATTTTTTTATAATTCTCAATTGCAAAAATAGAGAGAAATACTGAAAATAAGGGCACTTAATCATCGTCGAGAAATCGTACATTCATCATGTCAGTAAGACTTTATAATAAAATGCATTATCTTTCTTTAAACGTTTTAACAATGGTATGCACAAAATCAGTATTGTATAATTATTATAGAGGAAGCTCAGGGCCAAACAGAGTCCAACTAACCCTATCTTTGAGATAACAAGGGTCTGTATTTGCTTCATCTGCTTTATTTGTTCCTGAGGATGATTGAGACTTGTTTGCACCCTCACTCAACATGAGCCACATAGGGCTTTTTTGGCCCTGTGAATTTCTGAAGAATCACAACTGCTCGTTTTTGGATGACAATGCAGTATTTATTTCTTGGATCATTGGTGACCATGTGTCTATTGAACATGACGTCATTTTCTTTCTAGTCAATGTATTATGACGTAATAATAGGCGTCATTTTTCAGTAAATTCCTTCAAAAATTGCCAAAAAGTGAAGCATTTCTTCAACATTTCATAAAGAGAACAATCTCCGATCCAAAATAAAGGCAATTACATAATGAAAGATGTTTCTGTGAAGATCATAAAAAAACATGCTTTGATTTTTGGATAGAGGGTTGTGCTCATACATTATTTTAATTCTTTGCTGAAAGTTGTGAAAACACCTTTTTTATATAGATCCTACCCGCTGTGTGCTCCTTGTCATAATCGGGAAATAACAGGAATATTCGTCAACTATTCAGTGTGTAAAAATTGTCCTTACTATTGGAAAACATCAGGCAGCATTCGACTTAATGAAAAATTGCATTTGCTGACGATGTCATTGTATCGACCATGGAACTTAGGGAATAATGACTTTAAACGACACTGTTGATATTCATTTTTTGTCAACTTGAGAGATATAAACCCTGTATGGAGGTAATAAGGATATACTGCTGCTTAAGTAAGGGAAGTTGAGATTGAAGTTTTTCATCACAGTTTCCATAAAGCTTTGATGTTTCTTGAAAAAATCTCCAAACAGCCCTTAGAATTTCTTAAGTATCCGCATCATCTGATTTACACCAATTATCAAATATATTGTTGCATAGTACTCCTGAAGTTTCTCCTTCACTGCTGTTAAAATTTTAGCGAGGAGTAAAGAAAAATACCTGGTAGAATATTTACCAGAGGTCGCTATGTATCTTTGTTTTTAAGGATTTTTATGAAGTTTTGGAATCCAATAGTAGCAGTTTAAAATCATTTTTGTTGTTTGGAATATCAAACATATTCAAAACTGACAGGATTTTTTTTTTCAATTCCCATAATAAAGTTTAAGGAAAATGAAGGGTTGACTTAAATTAATTTCTTCCGTAAAACGTAGCCGTTAAAAAAATCATTATTATTTATATATATATTATTACTGGTTCTGAAACATAAATGCGATGGGCTACAGGCATAGCCTATACAAGTCCTCTCCGGTAAAAAAAACAAACAAAAAACAAAACGAACAAACAAAAAAACTATGATTTGCTACATCCATAACCACAGCATGTATTCTGGTATTGGGGAAACTTAAAATGGACTTTCCTCAACTTTTTTGTGAAAACTATTTACAGTTTTAAAGGAACAGAGTAATAGACGTTAGTTTGGTGCAAATTTGCTTAAAAATCAATACATATAACGTTGTAATGAATCAAAGGATACATCGTGTATAAAAGGTTTATTGCAAGTCCAATGCCCATGAATACACTTGCGGCTAAAAAGTCCCACAAGATTTACATTTCTACACTGTGGGCTGAAAAGATTCCCAACTCCATCAACATTGTCATTGCGTCATTAGGGAAAGGTAGTGCCTAGTTTTCTTCTCATTGTCTACGGAAAGGTGTACTCAATGATTTACTATTTGTACGATGGTAAATCTAACTTTTATTGATAAAATAGTTTGACCAGATTAATATAAGTAAAAATAAGCTCCTGGCCCTCGTTAATTTGAAATCTATGCCTGACCTTTTTTGTTAAGTTTCATCAATATAAATCAGTCCACAAAGATGACATTCTATTCCGTAGACAACATTAGAAGGATTGCAGTCCAGATTTCCCAGGTTTCGGTACAAAAGCTATCTTCAGTTAGAACACTAATAAGAGAAGTGTTAATAATTAAAACGTCACGGGTTTTGCAGTTTTTCAAAGAACATTTTCAAATAGAAGACACGGGATCAGAATATTCTTTAAATACCGGGGTATATCTCCAATAGAAACTACATTATTTTAATTTTTTTAAGTATGAACTACATGTATTAGTTTACAACAAAACTTGGAGTCTGAAGACTGCACATATCACATATGTTGAATATCCCTGCTGATTTTACGAAGGGGACCGATTGAACTCTTTAAATTTACGTCCCTGAAAGACTTGAAAGAGTGATGTCTTTTTTATATACATGTTTGCAAATTTTATTTCGTTTTTCTTTATACTCATAAATGGATAGGTACCGAACAAGTATCCTCGAGGAGGGAGTATTTTAATTTAACACTTCATAGCTAAAGAAAAACCCATTCGGATAAAGAAATCGTGAGAACAAAAACTTTAATGCATAAGTTAAAATTTATTTTTCCCATGTGCTATTCATTGCACAAATATTATTTCTGATAATTTTAATATTCAGAATATTAAAAGAGTGTTCAGAATTTTAATGGAGAGGTGTATGAAATAAGAGACATTCTCCTCAACTCTAATATCCACTGCTAAACAGAGCATGATAAAAACAATTCGTTCTTAATTTATCTAATTTATTTTTTAATTAATTGATGATCGTGTCTCAAATGATGATTAAGACACACTTAATATTATGTTTTTATATAAAATCACTCAAGCGTTACTACGACCTAATTACTCTGTCGAGGGACATTTCCTGCACAAGTCCAAATATACATGTCCCCTTGAGGAGGTGAAGGAGAATGCCACGTTTTCCTTCAAATGCAGACAATTAGTAATTCAGAAGATGTCTTGAAGAGCATTGAAAACATCTTCTCCTCCAAATTCTCTTCAAAGGATTTTGATTTCCTTCCATATTTGTGTGAAAAAAGTGAATATGGGAATATTAAGTTCGACTCTATCAATGTATTTAATTATAATTTCCAAATTAACCACAACTGGGCGGTCTCAATCGCAGTTAAATGACAATTCGACGTTACCAACTGTCAGCAACTGGAATTCTTTTACTTTAACTGAAATAAATGGAACAGATTTTAATACTTCGGATACAGAAAGCTCTTTACTTCCACCTTTCTGGGAGGAATTCTGCACTTTGGAGGAAACAAACCAGCTCCTTTACTCTTACCATTGTTACATAGACGACTCCTCTTCGGGTAAATGGAATTTCTCTGAACTACGACAATATATTCTAAGGAAAGATGTAAAGTACAGTTTTAATGTACATTGTCATAACGGGGCTAAAATATCCCTCCCAGTGCCTGGAAAAGCAAAGAATATCATCAAACTGTATGTGAGAGACTGTGTAGCAGACGACTATTATGCTGACTATAAAAACTCGGATTTAGATCTTTTACCAGACGAACTAGAGGAATATGTTCTGATCAATGTCGTACGTGTGATAGGCGTAAAATCAATGTTAGACAGTCTTCAAATCAAGTCAGCAGACCTTCCCAAAAATGTTGTTTGTGGAGATGATGAAACGTTGACTATAAAAACAGAACAAAATGAAACTTTTCAATTTATTCATGATTTTATCAACCAAGACGAGGCAACTGAAATGTTTGGCAAAGTTGCTGCAGACAATATAATAGATAAAAGGGTGTCGCCACACAAGTGTTTCTACAAAAATCTACGAATTCTTAATCTTTCAGTCACATCAACGAAAAATAGGTACTATGCATCAGAATTGACTGAACAGAATGTATTTCCTGAGCTTAGAGTGTTGAATATGTCCAATTCAGACCTTTATTACATACCGGGGCAATTAAAAAACTGGTGGATTTACTTCAAGAAATTAGAGTATCTCGATATGTCTTACAATTTCATACAAGATGTAATTTTCCCATTGGATAATGAAAGAATATGGGACAAAACAGTACCAATCTTAACATTTGATTTTTCACACAACAACATAAGTAGAGTTTCTGTCCGCAAATTTGAAAGAATAATTTCAAACGAGAAAATATTCGTGAAAATAGACCACAATCCCATCAATTGTTCCTGCACAGATGAAATGAAAGAACTTTTAAAATATATCAAAGAAATAGACTGGAGTTCGTCGAAGTACCATCAATACTCATACCTTAGGGCTCTGAAGTGTGAATATCCTGAATATGTTCGAGGACGGCGTCTCGCAGATCTGACATTTAGGGAGATTAACTGTGAATTCGAGCTGATGCCAGTCACTGTCGCTTTAAGTGTCCTTTTGCTTTTTCTTATAATTTTTATTGTCGTTATACTTAAGTATCGAAGGGAAATCCGAATTTTATTTTACACTAGGTTCAATATAGTGCTTCCATGTCAACTTGCAGAATTGTACGAGGATAAAGAATTTGATGCCTTTGTTTCTTACAGTAACGATGATCAAGAGTGGGTGTACAATATTTTTGATGAAAACAAACACGACCGACTTGAACATTTAAAGTTTTGCATGCATCATAAGGATTTTGTTCCGGGAAAAACTATTTTTGAGAACATCGTCAAATGCATCGAGAATAGTCGTCATACTGTCATTGTTCTTTCACGGAATTTTCTTAGCAGCCAGTTTTGCTTGTGGGAATTTCAGGAGGCTTTTCAGCAAAGTATTGTTGAAAGAAAACGACATCTTGTCATCATCCTACTGGAAGACATTCCAGATAAAGATCTACCAAACGATCTGAGGAGATGTATGAAAACATTCACTTATATTAAAAAAGACGATAAGATTTTTGTAGACCGACTGCTGTACTCCCTCTCATTTAAAGTAAGAGTAGGGAAACACAAAAACAATGTACATGTCAACCATGGATTCGATAACCTTGGCGAGCAGCACGAAGGTAACGATGCAAATAGAAAAGATGGTGTCAATGGCCGAATTAACATTATCGGATAAAAAACAGAAACTCTTGATAAAATAATTATTCGTTAAATCCTTAATTAAAAGTGTTGAATAACGCTAAGGCATCTTTTGTGAAAATTAAATTTAAAGAATAGTCTTTAGCTCACCTGAACTGAAAGATCAAGTGAGCTTTTCTGATTATCCGCTGTCCGTTGTCCCTTCGTCTGTCCACCCGTCCATCTGTAAATTTATTTACTTTTCCCTAAGAACCACAGGGATAATTTAACTAAATTGGGTACAAATTATCCTTGGGGACAAGCCTCCTTACAAGGGGGAAATAAACAAGAAAAGACAGAAAATAGGGTAAGTCATTAAAAAATCTGCTCAAAAATTACCGAGTTAGAAAAATTGAAATTTAAATGAAAACATCCTGGGACAATTTAGATTCTACATTGTTCAAATCACGACCCCGGGGTAGAAAGGGCCACGATAGGGAATCCAAGTTTAACATGGAAATATTTGAAAAAATATTAGGAAATCCGCTTCTCATGAACCACTGGGCCAGATAAACTGAAACCTAAGTACCCTGGGGTAGAATAGATTCTACATTGTTCAAATCAAGATTCTTGGGGTTAAGGCGGGGTCACAATAGAGAATTCAAATTTTACATTCAGATATGTAGAAAATCGTTAAAATCTTCTCAAGAACCACTGGGCCCGAAAACCAAGGATTTATGTAGAAGTGGTGTAGATTCTTAATTATTCAAATAATAACCCTAAGGGGTTGGTCGGGGCAACAATAAGGACTCCAAGTTTTAAATTGAAATTTTTAGGAAAAATAGTTCCCTGTCGCGGGTTTGATAAAAGAGCTATCCCACTCACAACCACTGGATAAGTGTGGATAGGTGTATATTGTTGAACGTCATTCGAAAAATTGTTATAATCGAAACCAGTCGTACAAAATTTGTGAGAAATTTTTATCTAATTAAATGAAATGTAAGTATTTATTGACATTGATGTCTTTCATCGCAAGATGGAGTGGGTATTATACAAGAAAGAAAGGAATTATGGTCTCCAACGAATAGTTCTGCTATTTACAGTAAAATCATGGCATTCGATTATGCATGTACTTGAATATTTTTTCAGAAAAATGTTTAAGCCTGATCTGAGTGACATCTAATATTGTACTATTACCAATAAAAAGGATCGGCATGAAGAAGTACTAACGCAATTCCTTTTAAGAGCAATGTGTGTAAGTGTCTAGTTTCAAGAAAATCTATAACTTAGACTTTATTCTTAGTTAAAAATGTTTTCAAGTGATTATAGATAATTTTACAGTAAATATAAGGAAATTTAGCATATTGGCATTTCATTAATTATTTCCCACTATTTTTAAGTAATTCTATAAAAATATCAAAATATAACACATGACACCATATCAGTGAAAACATTTTGACATTTAGAATACTTTCAAAGACACAAAGGCACCCAAGCATATCGTCTTCATTACTAGACTACTACATTGTAAAATATTAAGTCAGATCCAATCAGGTTTTTAAAGATATTTGTTGAAATATTTTTTTTTTGTTTTCTCATATTTAGAAATATTTATATTCATTTTTGCCTTTATTTATGTTTTAACCACGTTTGTTGTTGACCCCAGTGAATTGAGTTTTCTTACAAAGGTAATAAAATCTCTTCACTTATACATGTGCATTTTGAGAGAGAGAGAGCTTTAAATTGATTAAAAATTACTAAGGCCATCCTTAAAAAATTGTTTGTTTGGAATTGCCGCCTGAAGGGTTTCAGATACAGGAGGGAGGGAGGGAAATTTTTTTTTTTGAATTAAAGAAAAATTTTTAATTTTAGGTAAAAATCTCAGTAATCAGTAAACCTATTTTTACATAGATCAGACACTATATCTCAGTGTTTTGTATGGTGCATGTGATACATGTAATGGGCAAAAAAAAAATTGATTCAATAAAAAAAAATTCTTCCTACTTTTGGTCCATAAATTTTTTTCAGGAGGGGGCAATTTCAATGAGGCGGGAGGCAATTCCAAACAAACTATAATTTTATTTTGGCCTAACTCTAATTATGTTTTGCCCATAAAATTGAAATAATCATTCAATTTTATGTCATTTTATCATGTTATCTGCGATCTGAATATCAACAGAAAATGCATTATCTAATTTAAAAAAAGCAAAGCTGTGTCAGTGGTGGGGCTTAGCGAAGCAAGGATTAATTCATTACAATAAATAAAGACGTTTCCTGTTTCACATTTTGATCAAATAATGAGAAGATGTATTGGAAACAAGTGCTTGAATAAAATATCCGGTTTGGAAACAGTGCTTAACAAAATATCCGTCTTAGAAACACAAATATGAAAAGTGGCGTAAATTATTTCAAATCAATGAGAAGGATGAACTTTCGATGTAAGACATGAAAAACATGTGCATCTTAAAATCAATTCGGTATATTTATCTTTTTATTTCTTTAATGAAGCTTGAACATGCAAGCACATCTGAACACTATGTGGAAAAATTACAGGAGACTTCAACCGTTCCATTTGTCAGGACCACAACAATTACTTCAACTGCAGTAGAATTTAGTATATTCAATGGGACAAACGGTATTCATATCAATCAAGCTGCGTCTGATCTTCCTCCAAACTGGGAGGAATTTTGCGTTTTACAGGAAAAGGATGCGAATCTAAAAATTCATCAATACATCTGCCTTATCAACACGTCTGTCTCTGGTAAATGGAATTTCTCAGTACTAAGGCAGCACATTTTATCAAAGGATATAAAGTATGGTTTTGATGTACGTTGTCAAAATGGTGCTAAAATTTCGCTTCCCGATTCTGCAAAAGGAAAGAATATTATCAAACTTATTGTTCGCGACTGTGTAGCAGTGGACTATTTTTCAGATTATCAGAATCTTGATTTAGACAGTTATCCGGACGAACTGGAAGAATATGTGATAATCAATGTACAACGACTGATTTCAGCAAAGGCTTTGATTAAGAATCTCCAGAGAAAGTATGAGACCCTGCAGAAAAACTTAATTTGTGGTGACGAAGAAACATTGAAAGTTAAGATTGAAAGAAATGAATCCTTCCCAATTAATTTTGATGTCCCGGAAGTTAATGTACAATTCTTTACTAGAATTGCTACTAGAAACATGAAGAATAGTCGTCTTCGGCCACAAACGTGTATATTCAAGAATCTGCAAGTACTCGAAAATTCTGTATCTCAAAAAACTCGCTATTATGTTACATCATTGACGGAAATTTCTCGGTTTCCAGAGTTGAAAATTTTTAATATATCTCACTCTTTCATGATTTACATACCAACAATATTTAAAAACTGGTGGCTTTTCTTCCCAAAATTGGAGTACCTTGATTTGTCCTTCAACCATATTCAGGATATTCTCTTCCCAATAAATAATGAAGGCGTATTTGAACAACATATACCTTACTTAACATTTGATTATACTTTTAATAATATTACTCGACTTACAGTCCGTAATTTTGAAAAAATCGTAAGCAACAAGAAGATATTTATGAAGATAACTAGCAATCCGTTCAATTGCACCTGCACAGATGAAATGAAGGAAGTATTAAAATACATTAAGCACACGGATTGGAGCTCGGCAAAATACGAAAGATATGCATACTTTAGGGATCTGATGTGTGAAACTCCTGAAAATGTCCGGGGTTGGCGTCTGGCAGATCTGTCCCCCAGGGATATTAACTGTAAATTCGAGTTGATGCCAGTGACTGTGGCTTTGAGTGTCTTGTCGTTGATCCTCATCATTTTCATTGTTGTTATACTTAAGTATCGAAGGGAAATCCGAATTTTATTTTACACAAGGTTTAATGTAGTGCTTCCGTGTCAGCCAGCAGAAATATACGAGGATAAAGAATTTGATGCCTTTGTTTCCTACAGTAATGATGATCAAGAGTGGGTGTGCAATATTTTTGATGAAAACAAACACGATCGACTTGTAAATTTGAAGTTTTGTATGCATCAAAAGGATTTCATTCCAGGTAAAACTATTTTTGAGAACATCGTCAAATGCATTGAGAATAGTCGTCATACTGTCATTGTACTCTCAGAAAATTTTCTTAAAAGTAATTTTTGCATGTGGGAGTTTCAAGAAGCTTTTCAGCAAAGTATTGTTGAAAGAAAACGACATCTCATCATCATCTTACTGGAAGACATTCCAGACAAGAATCTACCAAACGATCTGAAGAGATGTATGAAAACATTCACTTTCATAAGAAAGGATGATAAAATCTTCGCAGACCGACTGCTTTACTCGTTGTCGTACAAAGCAAAAATAGCCCGATATCCAAAAATTGCTCAGATTAACCCGGGCTATAATTATGATGATGATTATGATGGAAATAAGAGAGATAATTAAGGAAAAGAAGAGAACGTGATCAAATTAATGAATGAAAGAAATGCTAAAATAAATAATTTTCATTAAGGAGTACCAAAATATGCAGAATAAAAGATATCATCCTGTATATTGTAGGGGAACTGAGTCCACTTGTGTTCTTTGGACCCCTATCAAACATCATTATTATTTACCATTTCTCGACCAAGTTAATTTATCATTCCATGACAAATATGTAACTGTGTGATTGATTAATTCAATTTTATTGATTGTATGTTGTTTAACTCCCTCTCAAGAATTTTTCACTCATATGGAGACGCCACCCTTGCCGTTGGAGAGCTACAAATTTTATCCAATGCTCTGCACTCAGGGCCACTGAGCAGTGAAGGATCTTCTTCGTGCAGCACCAGCTGCGACAAGGGACCTCGGTTATATACTGTCTCATCTGATGGACCAGTCTCCACGTCCCACAGTGGGATTCGAAACCGCGACGTAAGGATCGACTCCTTACTTCGTGACTCTAAAGCAGACGCTCTACCCACTGTGCCACGCGGGCGACTGTAACTATGTGAAGATGTCGACTGTCGACTGTTTACTTTCTGATTAAATTTGTATATCCTTAGTCAGAGAAGTAAGTCCGTATAATTTCCATAGACATTCGTCAAAGGTCCCATTATCACGAGTGGAAACAGAACTCCAGACATTGTAAAGTTCGAAGGATATTAGACGACAAAGATTTTAAAGGTCAGAAGACTTACAGCCATGTTTAGCCAAAATAGGTCTGATGTCAAAAAGTTATAATTATGAAGTTTTGTTGTAAATCAAAACATGCTCGAGAAAACTGATTTTTGACTCGTAAAATGTATTCCTTACGTTTTCGATTATGTGTTCTTGTATATATTTCTTGGTTAACAGTAGTTGGTAAGTAGCAAGCAAATATTGATAAGTGTTTAGGTTTTGTTTCTGTCGTCCTTTTTTTTCTTTATTAGGCACTTGACAGCTTCTTTTGTTAGTAGTAGCTGTGATCAGTCCATAGTAACTAGTAGCTCAAATTAATTTCTATTGGATCCCTAAGCAGTCCTAATAATGAACTTCACCATCTATAAAATTTTGATGGAGTTATTTTTAATATATGTTTTTATAAATGTCCAATTCTCTTTATCTAGTCATGCAGGTCCCGGTGTGGAATCATATGCGCTATTTTTTATGCTTAAGTCAAAAACATTTCTTTTAGCTTGGAGTCTTTTCGTGTACACGACGTTTTTTATATACATTATTGTATTATATTAATATAAAATATAACAAATTCGATATTGTTTCCGTAAACTGCCCTGTGATCAAAACGTTTTTCTTATACTAGACTGTACAGTTTTGCAAAAGATTGTAAGCCTTAAAAGGTGACTGCATATTATAGAACAATTTCTTTTTTTCAAATTTGGCAGCTTTCTTTTTGACGATGATTTTTTAAAATGATATTGAAATCAAACTCTAAATTTGATCTTTCATTTTGATAAAAAATGTACAATTTCAAATTCCTTCAATTATGAAAAACATATATTTTTTTTTATTTCGGTGTAAATTGCATTATTGTGATAAGATAATGCTTATAGTTTTGTACAAATGCGCTGCATTTGAATTCCTAAACATGATTTTGTAGAAATTGACAATAATAGAGTGCTAAAATGTCAGATATATATTAAATCTTGATTTGTATTAAAAACAACTGGTCTCCAAAAGGAAATTATCTTTTTAAGTTAACATCATGCAGAATATCTCCATGCTTGATGTCCCATGAGTTTAAGTTGATTGATAGTCCAAGATCTATATCAGGCGTCCCTGTCTCTATCACACAAATAGGAGAACTATACACCGCCACTGACAAGCACCTAGGAACTTTTTTAAAGATGTTTTCATTTGTTTCATTTTTTAAAAGTCCTTTTTACTTTTTTCTCTGCGAGTGTTTAGGTCCATGTACATGGTTACGTTGTGCTTTGAAACAATCTGCACTTATCATTTTGTTTCCTTCATCCTACAGTGTATTTTTTTTTATCTTGGAGATATTTTATTTATCAACCTAGTAAAGACCTCTAGAAAGATTAAAAAATCTGAGAATTAATCAGTATTCTTTTACATGCAATTCAGTGTATTTCTTTACCTGCTGCTGATGTACACGTATTGTCTCGAGAAAATTATAGTTTTCGAGTATTCGTTTCTTTATATCCCATGTTTCCTATGAATATGCAAGAGACATTTTTAAATTCCTATTTAGAAAGGAGTGCACTGTCTAAATAAATACATTATTTACTATACGTTTAAGAAAATTTGATGGATGGCTTATTTCCACAGTCGTTAACTGTTATCTATTATCTATGCACCAGTTACAAATTGATATAATTCAAGAATATAATTAGAATTTACATGTATATTGTTTAAATCAGACAGAATAACTGTCTCTAGAGTTGTGTGTGTGGGTGTGGTTGCAATTTATTTTGTCTCTTTACACGTTAACACTTAATTACATGTATGCAAATTATTTCTGTTTACCTGCAAATCCATTCGTAGTCACAGTGCAACAATGTAAAGGTATACACCAAAATATCGTGTGTCAAGGATGCATTTTTCCACCTTCTGGGTGAGCTTTTGACTTTTCCGTAATATTTATCAAAATAAAAAAAATAAAACATACAAAAAGATATGCATTTTACCGTTATCGGTTTCAAAAACTACAGTGTCAAAACTGCGCTGTGTCAATTCTATTTATTCTCTCAGATTGATCTTCTTCAGACATGCAACTCTACTGTTTTTACAAATTGAATATTGTTTGACAGCTATCTTTTTTTATTCAAGATCAAGAGAATCAGTTCAGTTATAAATGTAGTTAAAATGTGTTTTCTTTTTGCCAGACTATCTGACTATTAAGCATATACATACATGACTCTCTGCATATTTGAGAGATCTCGCAAGGCTGTTAAGTTTTAATGGATTTCGAGAAAATTTAAAGACTGTACATTTATTAATAGTAAGAAATATATTCAGTATTTTTGTAAATAAAGGATTCATATGCATGAACGTTGTCTTATTTGATACCTTATGCTCAACAAGAAGTGTGGATGCTTGAAAACGTGTAAACATTAAAAACTATCTTTATTGGAAATATTCAGTTTCTGTAAAAACATACTATTAATTTCTTTCCTCTAGGCAAATACGTAATATACTGATCTGTTATATGATATATATACTTATTTTTCAAACTATGAGCATGTAACATGTATACCTAATTCTAAGTTTTATCTTACTTGATTGATTGATCATCTGTAGTTTGAAGTAATTCAGAGATTCTGAGATTTGATAAAAATAAGTGAATATCTTTAGTGATCAACGAGGAATATTACAGAAAGCCGGTAGGTGCAAGGTAGATAAAATAATTTATCTGACAGCTACAGTCTAATTTTCTGGCGACTGCCAAATAAATAGATCCGACGGATGCTACATATAAATTCGTAGCCACCATGTTTATGTGGCGGCCACCAGATATTTTTTAACCTGGTATCTTCCAGCTTTCGTTATAAGTATATGGTTTGTTCAATATTATACATCAATGCATCTGAAAGGGAGATGAAAAACAATTTTCTCATTTTGACTACGCTGACATGTACACCTCGTTTTATGTTTAATTACGATTCATTTAGGCTCTTCCTTTGCATACTAAACTTGGAAAAGTACGGTTTTCAACCATTTTCTAGTATGCAATGTAATTGAAATTTGATTCGCAATGCCTCCAAATATTATTCCCATGAAATGTGAGTTTAATAAAATAATTTTATTATTACTTTGTTGGACGTCCGACTCTAGGTTTTTGCTTTAAACACTACTGATAGAAATTGTTAACAAAATTACACAAAGAAGCGTTAGACAAGAAATGGGATTTGTTTTTTTGAAGTTTATGCAGTGCAAAGGGTGAAATTAGTTAAATATATATATATATATATATATATATATATATATATATATATATATATATATATATATATATATATATATATATATATATATATATATATATATATATATATATATATAATATATACATATATATATATATATATATATATATATATATATATATATATAGCTCTTCTTTTAAAGGAGATAGAAATAGTCTGAAAATGGCTGCCACCCCAGACTCTTTAATGCGCATTTCTCCTCAAATCATATCCGAGGTTGAATGGCAACTTGAGGAATCAGCCAAGAAGGAAATACTCAATACATCAGAAAATTTTTATATCAGCAGATACATTGTATTCTCGATAAATTCCTCTTTTAAACCTTGATTGAGCAGTTTAGTCCATCTAGGGTTGAATGGAACCAAATTAAATCTGCACTATGAGAATTCTTTCATATAAATATGATTAATTATGACTTTCCTGTCTTGAAGATTTAAAAAAAAACCTGCACAACCTGGGACTCTTTACTTGAAAGATATATTTTGAGCAAATTTAAAATCTATACCACCTGAGAGTGTTGTCCTATAAAAATGACCTATCATGGCTTTGCTATTCTTGAGAAGGTGTAATACATTTTTCTACGTATGTAAACCTTCGATCCCATTGTGCCCCCCCCCTTGAGCCAACAGGAGTCATAATTTAATTAAATTATTACATAAGTATGCGTCCATATAAATATGTATAATAAGCCTTTGCTGTGCTAGACACGAAGATTTTTAAATATTTTTTATACATAGACCTATCTTAAATTTTGATGGTCTGATGTGGTCCCATTCCACCCCTGGGTTATGATTTGAACAAATTGGAATCTTTTATAATAATAAACTTCTTAATTTAATTTAATTTTGTTTTTTCGAGAAATTCTTGAAACGGAACTTCTTAAAAGATTCCATTAAAATTTTACTTAATTTTTAATTTACTCATTAGAAAGATTTCTGACGCACTTGATTTTCTTCACAAAAGGATGTTTTGTGGCAAGTTCGTTTGAAAATAATCTAATGGTTTTAGAGATAAAATGAAAATTTAAAAAATTCACAACAACAACGATAGATAACAGAAAATTTGGCTTAAGTGACCTAAAAATAGACCAGAATATGAAAAAAGACCTTTTGATTCGGACAGCAAATATGACATTAAAGGTGTAGGCATTAGTATTACTTGCATAGATTTAGATACGACAACGTCATATTACAAACTAATCCTTCTTTATTTATTTTATTTACATACATACGGGAGTTGTATGTAAGATTTAAATCTCGATTTTTTGTAAATTGTTCATCTGAAAACAACCCATAAAATTCACCGAGCTACAAGGACCCTAGAATGTTTGATATCATTTTAATAATCATAAAAGCTTTAACCAAGGATTGGATAAGATTTATCTGAAACATAATCCTCCATCGTATTCATTTTCTTCTTCACCCTATAACTATAGTCCTGCTTGACACGTTATTACAGGTGACGTAAATACCGGTATAGTTAATAATGAGAACCTTAGGTCACTTATTTTAAAAGGTCATAAATAAAGGAAACCCTGATCCTTCAACGCTATGGATTCTGTTGAAGATTACGCCAGGCGATGGGCCAGATATGAAAAAGAAGACGTTGTCACTTTGTCAGAATGGATTAATTGTATCAGATCCATGTTAAAATCGCATATTAAAAGATTGAGGGGCAATATGAAAACCATCTATCCTTCTGTATTCAATAATCCAGAAAAAGGAATTAGGTAAATTATATAATCAGTATGTACTGCTCCCGGCTGAAAAAGCAGGTAATAACATTGTCTACGTTTGGAAGGCTCATTTTATAAAATGATTAAAATGATTTAAGGTAGGATTCTTCTCATATTTCTAATATTTAAAAATTAATGAAATTTTCACAGAATCAAGAAGACAATGTCAGTAAGTGATAGTATCAGTGAAATTAAACTTGACCGTTTTATATTAGAGGCAAGGTCAGGTCAAGGTCATTATATTTTTCCTTGACATTAAGAATAAAAAAAATACTGTTGCCAATCATGTGATACCTACTTCTATTTCAAAAGTTTATTGATTGTTCTTTTTACATAAAAACATATAACTACTAGTATATCGGATCTATAGCATGATATTACCAAATTTACATAAATAGTTTTACTTAACTGGATATTGTCTAATCCGAATTTTCTCTGTTTTTCTTAATTTTTAGGATATATTTGTTATTTTCATATGCTTTCTATAGTTAACTTTTTCTTATTTTCACATATAATAAAGTAGTCTTATAAATGTACAAAATGATACAAAAACAAAAAGTTTTGATCGTTTAAAGAGAGAAAAAATACTTTTTATGGATTTTTGGCTCAAATCTGCACTTTGATAGGAAGCGTTTAAAAGCTAACAAAGTTCTAGTTTGTTTGAAAAATCATATTTATTTGATATATTTTGAAAGTTTAGTCCCTCATTATTAATTTAACTTACATTTGAAAATTTCTCCAAGTCTTCGATTGTGTAAAAATTATAACTAAATTCATTGTTCTATTACAATTTTGAGAGGCAGAAAAGAAGATATTTTCATACGCCACCATTCCGCCAAAAATATAGTCCCTGCTAGTTTTCAAAACAGTTTACCATTTCTATTTAAAGTTGTATATTTCTGATGAGGAAAGAAAAATATGGTCTTTTAAATTCCTTACACCTCAATATATAAGACATATAAGCAAATATACTTTGAATGTTTCATCTGGTCAGAAACCAGAGAAGAATCCTACCTTAATTCTATAAGTGGTAATCCAACTTATACTCATAGTTCCCATAAGGAAGAAATTCATCAAAATCATATGTCGGTTTTGAATGTTTTTAATATCACAAAGAACCAAAATGAATTTAAACTACCATATATATATTGCATTCCGAAACTTCATAAGAATCCTTACAAAGAAACATATTGGGTTCCAGTAAATGTTCAACCAAGCCTCTTTCTTTACTTCTCACTAAGATATTAACAGTAGTGAAGGAGAAACTTCAAGAGTACTCTGTACAATATATTCAAGGAGTGGTGTAAATCAAATGTGGATACTTAAAAATTCCAAAGAACTTTTGGATAATTTAAAATCACAAGATTTTACCAAAATCAACAGCTAAAAAAATTACTTCTTTACAACTTTATACACAACCGTTACGATAAAGAGGGTGTTGCAGTTCTTTTGTTATTTTCCCTAAATGTGTTGCAGATTAAAAGAAGAATTTTTTTGTTGCAGAAACTCATATTAATTTTTTTCAAATGCAACAATATATAAAGCACAAGGAGAAACAATATTTGGAAGGTGTGTATTGACTTCCATTTCGAAAGTAAATGATGTGAAAATTAGTCTTACGTCAAAATATATCAGATTTTCCGTTTTTTAGATAGGGAATCCCCATTGTTCTGAAAAAGTGCCTCCTTGAAACAAAATAATTTTGATATATACACAAAGAGGCAGGAATTTTCTTCAAAACTGCCATTTCCAATATTTGTTTCAAAGAGGCACATTTTTGAAAAACGCAAAAATTGAATCAAAATTATTTTCCAAACGAAATGCAAAATGTGAACTTTAAATAACACTATAAAACCATCGTGTCCGAAATGGTCCAGTGGATATGCTGGTGGGCTTCCAACTAGTACTTTTACCAGAGAATGGGTTCGAATCCTGGTATGGATCATTTTTGCATTTTTTCCATATGTAATTGTAGTGCAATGAAATTACATATATTTTGAAAGAGAGGTAGGAGATGGATGTCAAGAAGTTAATTGAGTAATAACTAATCTATATAATTTATTAAAAATGCAGGATTAAATTGTTTTCCTTGATATGCTTTGACTTAAAACTAGTGCTTTATTTGTTTTGTCTTGGAAAATAAAGTTACTGTATTGTTTAAATAATATATTTTTTTTTTAAAAATTTACAAACTGTAGTTATTGCAATTTTGGTCTCTTAGCTAGTAGCCAAGATTTTATATGAAACAAATCAAATGTCTTGGACGTAAAACCAACAGTGTGATTATGGGACGCAGTTTTGTTTCATGAAAAAATATTTTCAAATGTGGTGTATATATTTCAAAATGCTGCTTTAGCCATTGTGCTTTTTGTTGTTCCAACCTCTTTCGTGCAAAATGACGAATGTTTTGCTGTATCAAGCAGGAAATACCCACCGTAAACAGTCTTCTACGTAGCTGTATCTTATTTAGACAAAACGAGGGTATTTAAATGTCCTTCTCGATATATAGGGAATAATCGCGAGTTTCTGCAACACCCTCTTTAAGTCCAGGCTTTTTGATATCATTGACAGCTGCTTTTACAATAAAAATGGAACTTGTAAATTTACTTACCTTGTCATTGATTATTTGCAGAATCATTTTTTATATATGTTACCTGCGTTTTACTATTTTATTATTTTATCAAATCGGACTTTGACGATCATTTTCATCAATGTGCCCGAAAAAAACAGAGATTACTAGTATATAGTAATGCGAAAAGAAGGTTTACATTGTACCATTTGAAGCTTTTTTAAAAAAAAAACACACATGGTTTCTCCAGTTAAGATTTGGCCATGAAAATAAAATATACATTTTGATTTATGTCACTTTTTCCAGATTTTACCTGTAGTCTGAATAGCAACAGATAATGCAGTATCTAATTAAATAACCACGCTGTGTCAGTGCTGAAATTAAACGAAGCGAGGACTGAATTCATTACAATAAATAAAGACGTTTCCTGTTCACATTTTGAACAAATATTGAGATTTGTTGGTAACAAGTGCACGAGAACAATCCTTCTTGTAAAAACAAATCGGAAACATGACGTAAATCTTTGTAAATTACTGACGAGGACGAATTTTAATGTGAGGCACAATGAACATGGACATCTTAAAAACAGTTCGATATGTTTATCTTTTTATGTGTTTTATTTGTTTTATGGACTTAGAACAAGCAAGCACATCTGAGGGCTATTTGCGAGAATTAGAGAAGACTTCAACCGTTCCTTTAGCCAGAACCACAACAAATACTCCAAATGGAGAAGAATTCTCTAATTGGAATGGGACAAACGATACTCCTATCACTCCAGCTGCCTCCGATCTTCCTCCAAACTGGGAGGAATTTTGCGTTTTACAGGAAAAGGATGCCAGTCTTACAATTCATCAATACATTTGTCTAATTAACGCGTCCTTCTCTGGTAAATGGAATTTTTCAGTACTAAGACAGCACATTTTTTCAAAGGATATAAAGTATGGTTTTGATGTACGTTGTCAAAATGGTGCTAAAATTTCGCTTCCCTTGTCCGCAAAAGGAAAAAATATTATCAAACTTATTATTCGCGACTGTGTAGCAGTAGACTATTTTTCAGATTATCAGAATCCTGATTTAGACAGTTATCCAGACGAACTGGAGGAATATGTGAAAATCAATGTACAACGACTGATTTCAGTAAAGGCATTAAGTAAGAACATACAGATAAAGGCTGAGACGCTGCAGAAAAACTTAATTTGTGGTGACGAAGAAACATTGAAAGTTAAGGTTGAAAGAAACGAAACCTTTTCATTTATTGTCGATACTCTAGATGTGAATTACACCCTATTTACCAGATTCGCTACCGGACACATTATAGACACAAGACTGTCTCCACACAAGTGCGTTTTCAAAAAACTGCAAGTACTCGAGAATTCTGTCACAACGGGTTTACCTCGGTATTATGCGACTCTAGTGACTGAACAGAATCAGTTTCCAGTATTAAAACTGCTTAATATATCTCACTCTTTCATGAATTACATATCACAGAAATTCAAAAACTGGTGGATTTACTTTGAAAAATTGGAATATCTTGATATGTCCTACAACCTTATTCAAGATATTTCTTTCCCAGTAAGTAATGGAGGACTATGGGGACAACATATACCCTACTTAACTTTTGATTTTACTTTTAACAATATCAGTCAACTCACGGTCCGCAATTTTGAAAGACTAGTCCGCAACGAGAAGATATTTGTCAAGATAGCTAGTAATCCATTCAACTGCACCTGCACAGATGAAATGAAAGAAGTATTGAAGTACATTCAGAACACGGATTGGAGTTCGGCAAAATACAAAAGATATGCATACTTTAGGGATCTGAGGTGTGAAACTCCTGAAAATGTCCGAGGTTGGCGTCTGGCAGATCTGTCCCCCAGGGATATTAACTGTAAATTCGAGTTGATGCCAGTCACTGTGGCTTTGAGTGTCTTGTCGTTGATCCTCATCATTTTCATTGTTGTTATACTTAAGTATCGAAGGGAAATCCGAATTTTATTTTACACAAGGTTTAATGTAGTGCTTCCGTGTCAGCCAGCAGAAATATACGAGGAAAAGGAATTTGATGCCTTTGTTTCCTACAGTAATGATGATCAAGAGTGGGTGTGCAATATTTTTGATGAAAACAAACACGACCGACTTGTACAGTTGAAGTTTTGCATGCACCATAAGGATTTCATTCCAGGTAAAACTATTTTTGAGAACATCGTCAAATGCATTGAGAATAGTCGTCATACTGTCATTGTACTCTCAGAAAATTTTCTTAAAAGTCATTTTTGCTTGTGGGAGTTTCAAGAAGCTTTTCAGCAAAGTATTGTTGAAAGAAAACGACATCTCATCATCATCTTACTAGAAGACATTCCAGATAAGGACCTACCAAACGATCTGAAGAGATGTATGAAAACATTCACTTACATCAGAAAGGATGATAAAATCTTCATTGATAGATTGCTTTATTCATTGTCGTACAAGGGAAAAGATGTCCAAAATACGAAAATTGCTCAGATTAACCCAGGCTATGATGACAATGGAAATAACGGAGATAATAAAGTGAATGAAGATGATGTAATCAAAATGAAGAATGAAAGAAATTCTATAATTAATAACTTTCAGAAAGGAAAATAAAATCATGCAGAAGAATAAATATCTGACAAACAAAAAATTTTACAAGAAAGTTGTTTAATACTTGAACATTGTCAGCTAATATTTTGTTGTTGTTCTTGTGCCATAAATGTAAAGATAAGGCTGTAGACTGTGAAATGGTGAAATATTTAGTCTATAGGAGGTTTTCAAACAATTCTTCTCTAACGAGAACAGAGCAATGTTTTTTGTTAACGTTGCTAGGTATTGTTTGTGATCCGTACAGAGCAAACGAAAATATATCACATAAGTTCTTTTTTATGCATTCCTATACTTTCTGATAATGGACAGTTCTTAAAATCTTTGTTGAGGGTATGCTGTCACACTGGTGATGTGTTATTATGAATGTTTTATTCTGTAAATCTAGTCATGCAGGTCCCGGTGTGCTATCAAATGCAATGTTTTATAATGTACAATCCAGGAGACTTTCCTCTAGTTTTTCTTGCACATGGCATTATTGTTTATATTTAATAATTACAAATGATTAAACATGAAGCCATGATAAAGTCTTTTGATTGTTGTCATGACTGCCTTGTAATCGTCATCATAATGAAATTCTATCTTAATCTAATATTGAATCTTATTATACAGTAGAGTTTGTAAATTATCAATGAAAAACTACTGAAAGTCGCGTTCAAAATATTGGCGTTTTATTAAAGGCTGTGTTTATATTACAAGTATGTCCCGAAATAAGAGCCTGATCTCACCTCTGATGTTTCAGAGGTCCGTGTTTGCTCTGCTCCTCTTTTGTATTATTTTATGGTCTTGACTTTTCGTTATATCTATGTCCTTCATTGTAAACTAAAAATATTTCCTTTCACACTATTATATCGAAAGCAAACGCGGTTTTAGGTCATGCGACTGTCAACTGCTCAGCTGTAATATTTATGATGGGTAGTGGAAGCTACGTAATATGTTTCCGTTTTTCACAGAAAATTGAAAATTATTAATTAATAATTAAGTAAATTATAAGTCTCAATAATAACCTAAATAAGGAAACCATTACGTTCTTGGTAGAATTCATTAGATTGATGCAATATTGAATACCTCCAAGACTTCGGCTGATATTGCCCTGTTTCAATTCAAAAACCGATACTGGGAAAAAATCTCATGAATTTCAGATTTAATTTATTTAAGTAACTAATTTAAATCAATGGGAAAATGTTTTAACTGTATTATAAAGAAGTCATTAAACTTTAAAAATGGTAAATATTGGTACTCGCAAGGTCGAGCAATTGTACAGCCACCTCACGCCACTTATTCACCAATAAAAATTCAGTAACCAATTATTTTGCATGTAAATAATGTCCATCCTATGATATATATACTACAGTTTGTTTCTTTTTATAAAATGTGAAATTGCGCTGCATGTGTGAAAAGCTTCATCTCAAACAATAAATCCTCATTTAGATCATGTGAACTGAAATTCAGACGAATCATGAGGTACTGCGTTTTCATAATTATAGGAAATACGGTTGTTTGTCATATTTGTAACACCTCATACATTATTGGATATGATTGGGTGACATGAAGACTAAAATCAGTTAAATGACAGAGGGAAAGAAGATATATATTAATCTGATTTCTGCATTAATTCAACCTAATTTGTTTACCTTGAGGAAAAAGTACTATAAGTGAAAATTAAAATTAATAAAAACTAAAAAAAAAAAATCTGTTTGGTAAGAGTACATAAAGAGTACATATTCATTTTTTACGCATATTTATTTTTTATATAGACTGTTCAGTCATGCAAAAGAGGAAATTTATATACTTAAGAGATGACAACATAAATCAAATGCTGCTCAAGTGTCTTTTTTTTCATTTTACATTTTTGTCCACCGTCTGTCCCTCCGTCGGTTAACTTTTTCTCCAGAAACACTTGGTCAATTTCAATCAACCTTGGCACAAAGAATTTTTTGGGTAAAGGAAATATATTTTTTTTCAAATAAAGGACGTCACCCTCTTTCAAGGGAAGATAGTTAAGAATTAATGAAAATTTGGTGGTATCTTTTTAAAAATCTTTTTCTCAAGAATCACTGTGCCAAAATGTTATTCTGATTAATGTTTGGAGCAACAGTGGGGGATGGGCAAAAATTCACATAGGAAAATATAGGGGGAAAATCTTCTCAATAACAGCAGAGCCATGTTTAGTTGTATTGATATATGGAAACATCCTCAGATAGTGTATATTCAAGTTTGTTCTAATCATGACCCCTTTGGTATGGTGGGACCATAATTCACTATCAGAGTTTAACATATGGATGTTTAAGGAAAAAAAGAATTCTGACACAGGTACAATCATTCTCTCAAAAAACATCAATGCCACGTCAGTTATATTGATATGAAAGTATCTGGAGGTAGCGTAGGCTCTAGTTTGTTAAAATCATGACCGTGAATCGGACTACATCTGTCTATCAAAATCAAAATACTTATAAATTAGGGATAGGGTGAGGTCACAATAACGATTCAAGTTTTACATTTAAAATATTTTTAGAAAAATAAACATCGTCTGTTGAAGAACATCAGGGTCATGTTGACTTACACGTGTAGATGAGCATTGTGATCCATGGGCCTCTTGTTTTCAATTATATTAATATAAAGCTCCAAAATTTTTCTTTGAAATTGATCAAGACCCTTCATATTCTTTCAATTCTAAAAAAAAAAAATAGTTTCACAAGTAAAATGAATTGTTAATAATAGAGTTTGGATTTATTATGTTTGGCATTGTACCCATATATACTATAAACGAAATGCGCTGAAATCAAATTTGTCAAAAAGCTATGAAGAGATTGACTACAATAAAAAACAGTTAATGTCATGTTTATAAACTTTTAAGAATCTTGATCTAAAAAATTGATTAAAAAAGAAGTTATTTTGAAAATCAACACATTGCGGAATATCTCGATGATCGATGTTCCGTGCGGTTGATTGATTGAGATCTAGTTCATGCAATACTGTCTCTTACATACAAATAGAGGAAATATACAGCGCGGACAAGCACCTTAACACTTTGTTTTGTTTTTGTTTTTTGAACGATGTTTACATGGTTGGAGTTTTTAAAAGTACTCAATCGTTATTTTTCCACTGAGACTGTTTTGATGGGTTCAAGTTTTTGTCTTTGTGTTATGCTTTAAAACAATGCGCAGTTATCATTATGTGTCTTCGTCTATTTTATTCGAGGTTTTGTTTTAATATCATTAGCGTTTTAAAGACTTCTAGATGGACGGGTGTTTATTTGAAGATTAATCAGGATTTTGTAAAATTATGTTTGCTTTTCTTTGCTGATCTGTACATGTAGTCTCGAGAGGGTTTTAATGTAATTATCGAAGTATTGTTTCTTTTGAATGTTTCTTTAATTTCTTATGAAGTTAGTGCACAATCTCATCCACTTTTCACCATGAAAGAAAACTTGATGGATGCCTTAACTATCAAGAGTTGATATCTGTTATCAATGCACCAGTTAACAAGTGATATAAATTCAACGATATAAACATATTTTCTACTGTTTAAGGTGTAATGGTTAGGGCCGTGGATATCGGCCTGGATAGCTCAGTCGGTAGAGCACCTGACTAGAGATGCAGGGTCCCGGGTTCGATTCCCGGTCCAGCCATACATTTTCTCCTTTCCTGTTACAGATTTGGTGCCGTGCCATGCCCTGGAATTGACAGGTGAAAGACCTGCCAGGGATGAGCCTGGGTTGGGGTCTTTGGAGGGCCAAAGACCTTTAAGGAGGGAGGAATGTAATGGTTAGGGCCGTGGATATCGGCCTGGATAGCTCAGTTGGTAGAGCACCTGACTAGAGATGCAGGGGTCCCGGGTTCGATTCCCGGTCCAGCCATACATTTTCTCCTTTCCTGTTACAGATTTGGTGCCGTAGACCACCCCTGGAATTGCAGGTGAAAGTCCTGCCAGGGGCAATAAGAACTTGGGTTGTGTCTTCGAGGGCGAAGACAATTTAAGGAGGGAGGAATGTAATGGTTAGGGCCGTGGATATCGGCCTGGATAGCTCAGTTGGTAGAGCACCTGACTCTGTTTCCCGGTCCAGTCATGCATTTTCTCCTTTCCTGTTACAGATTTGGTGCCGTTGACCACCCCTGGAATTGCAGGTGAAAGTCCTGCCAGGGGCAATAAGAACTTGGGTTGTGTCTTCGAGGGCGAAGACAATTTAAGGAGGGAGGAATGTAATGGTTAGGGCCGTGGATATCGGCCTGGATAGCTCAGTTGGTAGAGCACCTGACTAGAGATACTCTCTCTCTCTCTCTCTCTCTCTCTCTCTCTCTCTCTCTCTCTCTCTCTCTTGGTAGAGCACCTGACTGTGTGTGTTCCCGGTCCAGCCATGCATTTTCTCCTTTCCTGTTACAAAGGTTAAAGTTAGTCTCTCTCTCTCTCTCTCTCTCTGTGTTTGTGTGTGTCTTTGTGTAATCAGCTCATGGCTATCTTTGTTTTTTATATTTATTTGTTTGTTTGTTTGTTTATTACTCTCAGACCATACAATGGTATATGAGGTACAGGAACATATTTACATGTATACAAAATACAAAGTCAAGTAAGGAAGAGTAGAGTCAAATAAGAAAATAATTACTGAAAGCAGACCAATATCTTTTCAGCAAACAAAGACAGTTTTAACAGTGAGTTAACATTTGTGATGGACATAATTTGCTCAAACTTATAAGTATTTACATGAGAGCAATACTTCTACACGAAAAATATGGACATTACATTACATAATGAAATTCATCACCCAAAGTATTTTTGTTACATATTCTTAAATACACAGATTGCCATTTTTTGTATTAATTAAGAAAATTTCCCCTGAATATCCCGAATTACGATAAAAACAATTTTCTAATGCAAATTATTTTCGTGTTTCTTGACGTAACAGTTAATTACAGCATATATTATTTTCCTATTAAATTAACCACATAGAGCAAAATCAACAAAACCTACAGTTGGTCTTGTCACTGAAATAAATGATAGTACTTTTGGATTTCTAGGTTATAAAACAGGATATATTTTCCCAGTTTTCTTTCTACAGTCGTGCATCTGTATACGCTGGGAAACTTTTTAATGCAGAATATTTCTATTCAACTACAAATTTCTGTGTAAAGTCTTTTTATTTGCTTTAATGTACATGTTTACCCCCAAACAAAGCATGCATGTGTCGCTTGAGCTTGAGTCAAGCATGCATATGTCGCTTGTGGGATAAAATGAAGTTTTCTTTATCATGTGTATCAAATTAAAGAAATAGCTGGTTATGAATATTATTTAAGAATAATTTAGAATATAAAATCAATTTTAAAAACAAATGGACAAAAATAGTTCAGTCATCGGTATGAGAAACAAACTACTCAAAACTGCGCTATAAGTCGATTCATATTGTTCTGGTAAATTATTTTGTGTCATTTTGAAAACCTTTCTCGATGGCTATGTCAAGTTAAAAGTTTTGTATTTACTGCCATC